TAGGGTTTAGGGCTTTTGGGGTTTTTAGGGGTTTTAGGGGTTTTAGGTTTTAGAGTTTTTAGGGTTTAGGGTTTAGTTTCTTAATATAGGGGCCTGAATAAGTACCAAGACTATTTTGGGGGCTCCTCATTCTAATTATGGTATGATATACCCCAAAACCCTATTCTCACAAGTCATCTTAAGCCTCGTTCGCTTCAGACTTTGGTCCGCGTCACCCCAAAACCCTATTCTAATTATTAAAGTCCCTGTATATTTGGCTCCATTGTAGTTCCCTGTTGTGGTTTATGTTTAGGATCCTATGAGGTAGTCCCAAAAAAGAACTACAGTGGAGCCTATGGGGTATGAGCACAATAATACTCATTATTATTGCAGGGTATCGATAAGGGCTGCCATAAGCGTTTTTATCAGGGTTTCTACAAGGAGTAGTCTGATAAAAGGGTTACTTTAGGGGTGTCTTTCAGGGGTAGGGTAGTATAAGGGATACTCTAGGAATAGTTAGGTACTATACTACAATAAAGGGTAGGGGCTACACAGGGTTACCATAAGTAGGCACCTCTAGCGGGTTTGCGAGCTTTGGGGCCCTTTATAATGGAAAGGGTTTTTGCGGGCTCCACACGCGGTTTATAATGGGGCCGTCGGGCTTTACTAGCCCTATTCTGTGGTGTAGGGCTTGCAGTTGAGGATGTAAGGTCTAGGCTTTAAGGTTTACGGTTTAGGATTCGCGGTTCAGGTTACCCTGACAGCCAAAGCCCTAAACCTAACCCCCTAAGCGCTAAACCCTAAGCCCTCAACCCTAAGAGCCCTAAACGCTAAACCCTAAACCCTATAAACCCAAAGGAGGCAGATCGTGTTTGAGGGTTTCGTTCCGCTTCACGGGGCCAGGATTTTGGTCCCTTTGGGCTTTCCAGCATTTAACCTCGAAGCCTGAATAATATAGGGTTTGGGGGTTCCTTTAAAGGGTTCCTTAAAGGGTTCTTTAGGGGCAACTATAAGGGGTTTTGGGTTTAGGGGCCTTGATAATTAGAAAAGGGTTTGGGGGCCCATCATAAGATAATTGTAATTAGGAACACCCAAAACAGTAGTATTGGTAGTTATTCAGGCTTCTATATTAAGTCCTTAGGGTAAGTATATGTTTTTTATACGTTCAAGCCTACTGGAACGTACCGCAAAACCTTATGCTCATCATTATTGAGGCTTTCCAGGCCGCTATATGAAGATCTTCCGGCTGTTGGACCTGTCAGTATTTAGGGCAAGAGGGTTTTAGGGTTAGGGGTTAGGGTTTAGGGCTTAGGGTTTAGGGTTTTGGGTTTTTGGGTTTAGGCGGGCTTCGCGAAAGAAACATGTTGTGTAGGCGAACATGGGGGTTAGTCGAAGTTGCCCTCGGTGCTAAACCCGACGCCCCCCAAGCTAAATGAAGCCATGCGGGGTTTCTTGGTGGCATGTTGATGCCTTGCAGGAGCACTGTTTTTCCAACATAATGTAGGGGCCTTGATAATTGGCATGGGGTTTTGGGGTATACTATACGATACTTAGAATAAGGAACCTACAGTAAGCTCTAGAAGCAGCTCTATGCGCACAACAAAGGGCTTCCGGACAGGTGCTCATCGTGCGACTCCAGAGGAGACTTTCAGAAAGCAAAGGGTCCTGTAGATCCTAAACATCCGAACCCTTCATGATTAATTTGACGGCCTCAAATTCCCTAAACTTCATGCCCGAACCCCCCAAAGACCCCAAAGACCCTAAACCCCAAATCTCATTGCAGGTCCCAAAGGACCCGATTCCTGGGTATTTTGACCCATGTGAAGAGAATGTACGTACCCCAAACCCCGCACCATAATCTCTTGAATCCTCCTTCTTAAACCCTCAACCCCAAGCCCCA